TACATATATATTGTCATAGGTATTTGAATTAATGTGGTTAATAAAACATATAGGATCAGAGTTCAGTGATGTGAATTAATAGATAACAATCGAGGTGATCATAATAAAAATAATAATAACAAGGATAAATTCATTCAAGTGTTTATATAATCTAGTCAACCGTGAGTATATAGGCAGAATGTGTATACTAGTAGGGGTATAGGGGAAAAAAACTCACATAGAGATTAGATAATGTAATAATAATAGTTATTAATGATAAATCGTTGAACCGAGAGTAAAATGTACAACTACAGCTCAGCATGATATTGATAATACAGTTAGCATTACAAATAAAATAAAATACAAATATAATAAGATAATGTTTACAGTTATTCAGTGTTACCAGGGGAGATAACTATTTTAGGCTGGAGGCGAAGGTCAAGGGAGGGGAAGAGATTGAACAAACTTTTTCTAAACACAGAGATTGGGTTGAAAAATCTTTATGGCAACTGCCTCAGATATGCTTAGTAACCGAAGACGTACCAACCTAGGGAGTTGTAAAAGCTGAATTTTTGTCAATCTTGTTCTCTATATCCGCTAGTTGTGCCAGTATGGAACCTCTAATTGACTGCACGACTCCTTTACCTAACTACATTGGACAATGCTCCAGAAGGCGACGGTGGGCTTGCCGAGTTGTTCTACCTATGTAACTATCTCCACATGAACAGTCAAATTTATAAATGCACATTGAAGTAGCCAGACTAGGATAGCTTATCCTTCACCTGCGTTGGAATTATACAACGAGTGGCGAAATTTAAACACAATATTACGGCAAAGAATGTTTTAGCTACTATTTTTCGAAGTTTTGATGCCAGCAACTCAGCTGCTGCGTCTCCTTTGAACGGTAAAGTCATGTATATGCGCTTCTTTCGCACGGTTTGCAGGCATTTCTATCTGTTCTCCTCATTGAGACTTTAAATAATTTTTCTGGATATCCGTTCTCGTATAAAAAGTTTCCTTATTTCATTGTCTGGAGTGTTTGTTGTGCAGATTTTCCTAGCACCATATATCAAGGTACTGTTAAGATTTCGTTTGTATGCAAGAGGAAGAAATGACTTAAAATGGGTGTATCGGTCAACCCATGACTTTTTCCGGAAAATACACCTCTTAATACTGCCATCTTGCCTTTGTGTTAGCAGGACATCAAGAAATGATGGGGTGTTGTCTTTATCCTTTTCATATATGAACTCAACTTGTGGGTGAGCCATACTGAACTTTTGGAGAAGGACCCCGGTATCGATTTTATTACTGTACAAGATAAAAGTATCGTCCATACATCTACAGTGGAACGAGATTTCGTTGATTACGTTCTTGAGTGAACGATTCTCTAATTTTACCATAAACATATTGGCTAAGAGAGGACCTAGAGGGGAGCCCTCCACTTGACGGTAAAATTCGTTGTTAAACTGAAACTGCACATTCATCGTACAATGGAGTAGCAGTTCCCGTAGTGTTTGAGGTGGTATATGTATGTCTATATCATTTTTTATAAGAGATTCATAGATAAAGTCGATGGTCTCTGATGAAGGAACATTAGTGAACAGGAAGGTGGCATCCATAGTGATCATTGTTTCATCATTGGTCTTATCTCTTACTTTGTCTACAAATTCAAATGTGTCCTTCAAACTATACTTAGCCACTTTTAGCTGCAGTGGTTTAAGTATATCTACCAGCCATCTCGCTATTTCGTGATATGGTGAGTTAAACAAATCTAATATCGGTCTCATGGGCACATTGGGTTTATGAATTTTAGGTAGCTCTTACGTTCTAGGTATATTTGTACCTTTTTTAATTCCTTCACGTTCCCAGTGGAACATAGGGCTTCAAGCTAGTGGCTTGAAGTTTCTGTAGCAGTGTTTATTTAACAAGATGGGGTTGCTAGCTTCATGCCCAACCTTTCCTCTTTACCAGTATTGTTGCTGGCTTAGCGAGGTAGGGGAGTGCGTTGGCTGGGGGTCGAACCCCGGACAACATGTGTGGTTGGCGAGCATTCTACCGACGCATATATTTGTTCCTAAAGGCTTATATATATATCGTTTCTCAACAGTTCGCATAACAACAACTCATAATAAGTTGAACGGCCTTAATAAATGCTCACTTGTGTACAGCACTTTTGAAATAACAAGAAAGGGTAGTTTTAAAAAGATGGAGATAGGTGATCGTAATGTAGCGAGGCTTTAGCTGCACTTATATCCGCTCAAAGGATTTTCATTAAAAAAGTACGTACGTCTATTAGGTTAAAACATATTCTGATGACTATGAATAATCCACCTTAATATTTAATAATGTTAGTCGGTATTTTAAAACCGTTTACGACTATAAACTGAAGAAAATATTTTTAGGTTTGTGAGACTTACATGTAACTACAATTAACCTTATTTGCACTCAAAGTGTAATAGTTGTTCTTTAACGGGAAAAGATAAGAGGCTTGCTAACAGAATGTTTATTGGCAATCTGATATACACATATAGGGAAATTATGTACGCCTTATGTCAAAATCGTCATTCGCACAGATCCTCCGTGTTATACAACTTCTGCCCTTAGTATTGTGTTCTCTTGTCTTCTTTTCGTGTTCCCCTTGTTTCTCTGTAATACTGATTTATTTTCTGTCTTTGATGTCAAGTCCATCTCTCCGCTATCTGATACTTTTGTGCGGATGGACGTCTTTTTATATACTGCTGGTAAACCTTGTCAGTAGCACATGCCACAGTTTAACTTCGTAACTTATTCTCTCTCACCCCCTCCCGCCTTTCTTCACTCCTTTACATAATCTTACTTTACGTTAGAAGTGAATAAAAATTTACTGAGTTCAATTCACGCTTACTATTCAGTTAATTACGTAACGCAGTATTTTTTTCTCCATCATATTATTACATACCGTTCACTATTATGACAACTTTCACTAAGTGATTTACCTATTCAAATATTTTGACCTATAAACAGGTGACGAAAGTTGTCTAAATAACAATGGTTCAGAGTGTTCTGACTGAAGCCTTAAATTTGTCACTTTTTAATTGTCGGGGTATTTAATATTTTTTTTAGAAAACTTCACTTTTACTAGATTCGATGGTATTTCTTCAAAACTATTATGATTGTATAGAGAACCTTTATTTGTCATGATTCTTAGTAGGCGTATTCCTTCAAGACCAGTGTCACAAAATTCATTTTAAATTATACCAGGACAAATTCACACTTTCTCGTTTAGGTCTTTTGTGTAACAACATGGTCTTCATACAGTTACATATATACCCACTTACCTGTTAGTTCATTTCTCCACACTGTACTCTACTTTGTAAACCCTGAAAACCACTAATGAAAACAATCCGCAGATGTTGTAGAACAATATGTATGTAGATTAATCCATGAGTGGATTATATCCGACTTCACTAAACAGTCACTATTTATCATTAAGTGATGTTTCACAGTATATCCTGATGAGGACTTGGAAGAGACGTTTATTGTTTTTGCAAGTACATGCGCTGTACTTTACTACAGCAGCATTGGATACTACGATTCAGTGGTTTAGGAACTCACAACAACAAGGTCTATGGATAAGAAACCGACTGAATGCTCGAAGATTTCGACAGTCCAGACATCATGATTAACGTTTGTACTTTAGGTATAACTAACCGTCAACTAGGTAAATATACACTGAATTACTAGGTGGATGAACGTAACACTGGAAAAATTTGCATGAGATATCAGAGATTCTCAAATTAATGTTTTAATGATTATGTCAAAAGGACTGATTTTTCGGAAACTCAAACTGACCAACAAATAATGATCAGTCCGTCCCAGTTGTTACAACTCTTTAATTTTATTCAGATTTTAAATAAATAAGTTTATTATTGTTCACTGGCTATTGTGGAACCTGATTTATGAAATATTTTTCTGGTTTTTTGTTTCAACTTTGCTAAAATCAGATAAAATCAGTCTGTAGGTAGAGACATTTATATTGTTTAAACCTACGTCGAAGTGAAACGGTTTTAGCGATACCATTTACATTTGTGTTATGTCGTTTTAAACCTGATAGAGGTTTTTAAAAAAAATGGGTATTACTTTCTAAATTCAAAATTGTTTGAATTATAGGTGAACCACCCTGATATATTCAGCTGCTGAGTGAGGTATAATCGTGATATGGTGCATAAGATATGCATAATTCAGTTGAGTATAACTCTATCTGAAAAGATTTTTGCCTACATGTAGCGTAAATCCGCTTAACCACATACATTCAACTGTTCTGTTTTGTTTGAACTGAGCAGCTCAGAACAGTTCTCTTATATACCAGGATATAAGCTACACACTGATTATGTAAGGGCTAATGATACTGTGGTAGTGTGATATAATGTGTCCCAATGGAATATTATTCTCATAGTAAGAATCTTTGTATTCGTTGGTGTTAACATCTGAATACTATTCTCACAGATCAATAGTGCATTAGCAACAGAATACTATATGCATTTGAACATTCTGTTTCATGTCGTTTAATGTAAACCAAGATCATACGCTCAGTGATTGGTTATAGAATATAAACTGTTTATATATAAATAGCGGTTTGATCAATTGAAAATATACCTTCGCTTCCGTGTCTTGCTTTCTGCTGTTACAATACTATTCAGTTTTCCAGGATGAAATAGATGCAGCGAGAATCGAACCCAGTACCCAACTGCTGAAAGTTGTTCGCTCAAGCCATTGAGCCATATTTCCATGCATTAGGTTGTACACTTAGTTAATAAAAAAAAAAGAATATTTAAGCTTAAAATTCACCTATTCAGGTGATTGCATAGTATCGTTTATAAACAGTAAACGAAATAACTTAATTTGACCATGAGTTAGTTAGTCGTTTTCTAAATGACTTATTTCCATTAAGCTATGCAGTATATTGTAACATTTTATCTGTAATATAATTCTATGTGTATCAATATTTCTTTTGTTTTTTTCTTCTGTTGAATATTAAATAGATGGGGAATGTGTTACAACAAACAATCTTGCAGTTACTCGCAGCATATCTGAGACGGTTGTTTCCGATGACTTACTTTCACAATTCGCAAAGGATAGATTAAATTCTCCAGAGTTAGGCCAATCATTACAAGTTTCGAAATCATTTGACATGAAATTTGGTGGAAATGACTTGTATGATAGTAATGAACAAAGTTTGAAGCAGCTGTCCATGTCTATTGATAATGTCTTCTTTCCAAGCATGAAAGATGAGCGTATGCAGTACCCTTTCACAACTAGTGAATTATTATTATGTGATGAAGACTTTATTCCAGCAATGACTTTTAGCCTGTCTACAGATCAATTGGTTTCAAATGTAGTTGACTTACTCGGTACTAAACAGCCTGACTATCGTGGTGGTTCATCGAAGAGAAAGTCATTGTCATCACCATCATCATCATCTTTGATTCAGCATGTACATAGTGACGCGGTATTAAAGAAGAAAATCGAGCGAAATGAATCTGTAAACAGTTTACTAGAGGACAACAATTCAGCTAGCCAAAATATCAATAACTCTCTTCTCAGTCATCGTTCCAGTTTTCATTCCAATTCAGGCTCATTGTCATCTTCAGCTTCTCTATCGTGTTCATATATAGATGACAATGAAGGCTTTGAATATGATGATATAATTTCAATAGAAATGAATAAAAACCCGGTGAAGATTGAAGACTGCGGTCAAAGTGATCATTGCAACGAAGAGGATAATATTGATGAAGAAGATATGGAAGAAGGCGATGAAATTATTCTTCGACAACTGGATACTTTATCATCTCTTCTTAATTCTAAATCAGATAGTTATTCACTCGAACAACTTAATGAATCTCCATCCCTCTTAAACAAAGTTGCTGACGTCAATGATGCTACTGATGATGCAGCATTAGTAACGTCAGCACCATCGTCATTCGTGGACAGACAACTCAATAATTCGCTAGCATGTCATGATACTTGTAAATTGGGATTCACTAATCTTTCACAGAAAACTCTTCTGATTACAGATGAGTTAAATAAACTAAGCGATACACTGGATCGACTATTATACAAACTACAAGCTAATCAAATTCAGTTAGATCAAGCTGAAGATAACTTAGACTATATGTGGTATTTAAAAGATAATCTAGATGAAGAGTCTTCATTAGATACTTCTGAATGTTATTCTACAGCTGCTTTAAGTGATATGGACGCTGAAGGTTTATTACACGAGGATACTTCCGAAGAGGAAGATCATGTTGATGCTGACGATTATTGGTTATCAAAAGGCAGAATGAGTGTATCATCAAGTCATCCTAGTGATTGTCATAGTGATCGTCATACTTATGGATATTTATCTAATTCACATGGTATGCTTAATAATCATTTCTATTCCACTTTAAGAATACCTCGTTTCCATTATGATAATATATCAAATATGGATTCAGGATTAGAACAGTCAGTTATAACATGTTCTGAATCATCTACACATATGATTTCTTCCATGCCAGAGGATCAGCTGAAAACTTTTCTTAGTCATAATTCATCGTATCATAATAATAATAATAATAACAGATATTTATCGAATTCACAGACATTTAAAGACCCCTTGCATTCAATTTCAAAATATTCACGTTTCAAAAAGCGTCATTATCGAATGAAACGCATGGTTAATCATAAAACTAATCGATTTTCCACAGAAATAATTCCAGATTCTGATGGCTTTTTACATCCAGGTAAGATTCTTACGGTATTCTTCTTCTTCTCTGTACTTCATTCACACTGAAATGCAAAAAGATATTAGAAACTGAAAAATGCATGCGATTCTCATTTAACGAGAAGAATGGATACACTATTTTTTTTTATAGTTATATTTGTTTTTGCTTAGTTTCCCTAGTGAGTTCAAATTGATGATTTTAGTATTTGGAGAACAGTTTGTCTAACTTTTCCCAGGTTAGGATAGCTCTTAGGATTACGTTAGATTATTAATCATAGAGTTTTATGGTTATATTAATGCTAATACCTTTTGTTTTAGACTGCGATTTTATAGTTTTCATCCTGTCACCATTTCTGTGTAGTGAAGTAAATGGAATTCATTCACTATAAAATACATTTTCAAGTGTTGGTTTGCAGGGATTTGATTCGTTACAGGATCTTATCATGAGCTGACATCAGTTAGAGAACCATTGGAAAAGCTGGGAGTACTGTCAGACAGCTGTTTCGTCCCAGTTTGGGACTGTTCATCAGCACTTATCCACCACTAGGATTCGAACCCAGGACCTTCCAGTTACAAGGCGAGTGAGCTGGTGAACCATTAAGCCAGTGGGATCCGATCCAGTGGCCAGTCCATGAATTCCAACGTCTGCCAATTGACAATATAGCGCGACCACTAGCCAATGTCATCCGCTCACCCGACCTGCTGTCCAGTACTCCCAGGTTTTCTAATGGTTCCCTAACCGATGTCAGCTCATGATAAGATCCTTTAAAATACATTTGTTTGTGTTTATGTCTAATATTTAGTTTGTGCAACCATAGCGATCTTTATTTTGCTTACCTGTTGTACTAACTTCCAGGGGTATCTGTCTGGCTTCCTGATGGGATCCTAGTGACGTACATCTGAGAAGCCATAATTGCTTAATCCTTGAAGATTTAAGTAATATTGCATTATTTTGTTAATTTTTTCAGTCGCTTCTTAGACATAATCTTATTGTCTTCATCACTAGATTGCATTATGAAAGCTTATTCACTATGTTGACGCACTTGTACGACATCATGGATGGTAACTAACCACGTTTCCTAGAATAGATGGTTATTTTACGGCCTTCCTCCTTCCGTATTGTGTCAGAGAGATAGTATAATTCTAGTGAACACTAGGTGGCCTACCTAAAACTTGGGCTATCGAAAATCTTCATCAATATATTGCACATAATTTCTCTTATTCAGTTTGTTTAAATCAACTAAAATGTGATCTATATTAGTATTATTTACTCTGGCGAGTACTTAAAACGTTTACAAACTTCTGATTCGCAACCTTATAATAAACTTGAGAACAAGGTTTATTCTCGATGGCAGCTTATCCAAATACATGAGATAACTGTTCTGGGTTGTCTCGTTGGTTCACAAAATGTACTCCTGAACGTTTTATGATTGGCATTGAACAAATGTTGCAAATTTCTTGGAGACGAAGAAGAGATATTATAATGGTGGGTTGGTTTGTGCTTCAGGTCAGATATAACTGTGGCACACGATCTACTGTCAATTAATATTTGATTTGAAGATCCTAGACGAAGGGAATATATCATTCAATAAACTCCACTGGAAATTCTGTACATTATTTAAAAATTGTTTCAGAATAAAATCGCTACTTTTATTTTCATGAGTTGGTTTGTAGAGATTTTATTTGTTTTTCAAGTTTAACCATGGATTGATATCAGTTAGAGAACCACTGGAAACCAGGAAGTACTGGAAAGCTGTTTCGTTCTAGTTTGGGACTCATCGACAGTATCCACTCACCGGGTCTCGAACCCAGGACCTCCCAGTTACAAGGCAAACTGTTGAGAATCCGATGCCCGCTAGTGACTGATTATGGGATGGAGTTTCCTGGAGTGCTAATGAGGTCCATTCTATCAGGAGTGAGGACAAATACTCTCCGATGACATCGGCTAGTGGTAGAATTTAGAATTCATGGGCTGGTCAATGGGTTGGGTCCCAGTGACCTAATGGTCCACGAGGTTGCCTTGTAACCGGAAGATCCTGGGTGTGACCCCCTGTGGTGGGTACGTACTGATGGTGAGTGCAAAACTAGGATGAAAGAGCTGGTTGTCCAGTACTCCCTGGTTTTCAGTTATTATTATTATATATCCCAAAAGTGGATCCCTAGGGCACTACGTCTACGTAGACTTGGTGCTACTCACATGTATAATTCACTAATGAACATTATCAAAAAGTGGTGACCATTATAATTTGTTGGGTTGGAGATTTAAAGATATTACTTATGTAGAGAAATTCTCAACTGTGATGGGCGGGTTTAAAAGTTTGGTACTTTCTATGGGAGATAGACAATAAAGATAATCCTTTATTTCATTACAGCTACATTCGATATACGCATAAGTTAAAAAATTTTCTTCATTATTTTGTTTTTCAAGTGGAACATAGGGCTGGGAGCTTTTGAAGTTTCAGTAACAGTTGTGTTGTTCTTACCGGATAGGCTCGCTAGTCTCACGCTCAACTTACCCTCTTTTTGGGCTTACCACCGGCTAGTAAAGTGGGAGGGGCTTAGGAGTGCGTCGGCAAGAAGTTCCACCCCGCCTCCCGCTTCCGTTGAATCACCGACTGACTCTAAAAACTGATATTTACATCTACTTAAAATAAGTATTTTGAGATCCTTTTGGGATCTTAACGAAATACAATATTAACGTCTACCAGTTGGTATCTACTTTTCGGAATTTCACTATTTGCACGGCAATTTAATGCTTTACCTAGACTTACAAAACTGTAATTTAGCTTTAGTGTTATTAGAGGGAGGAAATCTACAATACTTAAGTGATGTCAAGCTAATAATTACAGTGGAGTCTTATATGCATATATCATAAGTGCAGGACACATCCATGACTTGGGATAACAGGATTTCTATGGATGAGGGTTTTATTTCTGTTTAGAATAACAATACGGAAAATGATAATTTACATATTTAAGTTTGAGTATGATTTTGAAAGTGCAAGTGTTTTTTTTCCGTTGACTCAAGTTGTTTATGTAATCTATTCATAAACACTCGTATTACACAATACGATTGGTCAGGAAACATTTTATTTTCCCCAATGTATATCTATGTATATATACGTATGCATACAGAAAGCTCACATGATCTAATTACCAAAATAAAATGACTATGTCACGTGACAAAACATCCATTTTTCATTTTAAACCTAAATCTCTTGATGGCTTTTAGGATAAAATTCAAATGATATTTATCTTTTTATCATCAAAACAAAATCACTGGATCGTTTCTTTTTTTCTTGTGAGAGCAAATTTTTTTCCCCTGTTATTGGAAGTAGCAATTAGGGAAATATACATTTCAATGCAGATTTCATCACGAACCACCACCAGTTAGAGGTCATTATTGAAAGCCACGAAGCAGTGAGCACCCAATATCCTACCAAAGATCAAGCCTGGGAGCTTCAGGTTATGAAGCCAAGCTTGTTGACCATTCAGCTATCGGGGGGCAGAATTCAGTGACGCCTCAATTCTAGCATCTGTCAATTAGTGATATTGCTCCATCCTCAACCAGTGCCTTCGATGAGCGTCCACTGAACCTTGATATAGTGAACCGCACTGGCCATGGCCTTTCAGTGTAGTTTCATGACATCCATGCAGTAGCCATCAGTTAGCTGGAAGCTGGCATTTAGATTAAGTTTACTGTGGCTTGAGATTTTAACCATTATTCTATGCTTAGATGTAGAAGTGGATCTTAGGGTTGTTAACTGGTTTATTATATCTTGTAGCTTTATAGCATTTGGAGTGACTGTTGTATGTATCACAAATGCTACAGTGTTGCTTATCTCAGTACATAATTTTTGTTAAATTTTGAAGCATTTTAAGGCATATTAAAGCAAAATAACATTCCTTGTTGAAGTGTGCATATTCAGTCTTACTTAATCCTCGGAGAGCAAATAAAATGTCCACTAAACCTGACCAGAACTGAAGCAAGACACATAAACCTGTTACAGTCGAACAGGAATTAAAAATCCTATTCCTTATCTCTATTGATTTCTCCTTATCTAGGCTTATAAAAACTTTCAGCTTCGATTGACTTTCTTGTTATTGAAAAATATCCTCAGTTAATTTTTTTTTAATTTTTATGATTTTCCTCTCTCAGATTAATTTCCACCAATGAGTAACTAGGCCAAAGGCTTCTACTCTCTTTCTGTTTCTCTGCTAGCCTATTCGTCAAATGTTGTTTTATGTTTTTTGATGTACTTAATATTTTAGACAGTACCAACACTAGTAGGGGAAATATGATATAACTTTTCAGGTTTGACAGAATGTATAAAGATAGTAGAGATTGTTCCAATAGAATTACAACTGTTAATCGAAGCTAAATCAACAGCCAAACAGTGTTTGTTGTTACTTTTCTCTACTAGACGTGATATCTGGCTATCGACCAAAGGGCGTGTGTACTGCTCAACAGTCCGCTACGTCCTCCTTTATGGCTGTGAGACCTGGCCATTGAGAAGGGAAGACATGAAAAGACTGGCTAGCTGTCTTTGATCATAGGTGCCTGCATTCTATCTCCCGTGTGAAATGGTATAATAGGGTGAGCAATACTGAGGTTGTGCGTCGAGCGCTATGTAAGGAGGGGAAATCAATCGACGAGGCTGTGAAGTTACATCGATTGAGATGATCAAGACATGTGTTACGCATGCTTAGGCATCGCCTTCCTTGATGGGCGATGTTAGCTGACATAAGATGGATCAGGTTGTAAAAGAACCATTGGTGGTCAAACCAAAACATGGCTTCATCAGTTAATGAAATCCACAACAGTTAGTTTAAGCCGCATCGGGAGGTGTAGACTTCCTGACTGGTTGGGGTCCTCAGGATAGTAAAAACCAATGGCTGGAGACAATAGGTGATATGGCTCAAAATCGTTCTCAATGGTGCAGATGCATCCACTCCTTGTGACTTATAATACCCAATAAAACTATATTACTCTTTGATATTATTATTCTTTTTGCCTCATATCTCTGTTTACTGTCACTATTTTGCATTTCTTTTTACTTTCTTCCCTTGCTTTGTGTGCTACATGGAGTGTGGCGACTCGAACTGCTGCACATCGGTGCAAAGTTCTATGTTGAAGCCAGTCAGTCAGATATACTACTGACCGATCACTTCAGTGCAAGATTTCAAAACTTTTACATCTTATGTTATGCACGTTATTAATGAGCCTGTAACTTCTATGTACACTGATATATTCAGTTCAAAATATACTTTAGTACTGTTATTATAGTCATCTATAGATCACATTCAAAATAGTGTCTTGTGTTTCTACAGTTTTGGATTACTAGAACGATAAGTTATTGAGAAAAATAATGAAGACACTGGTCTATACATCATAGTTAAGATTATTCTCTCATTTGTTTTAGTTTTCAAACTAATCGCATCATTTTCAAGTCTTCACTTAGCACTGTTAGGCATAAGTTCTAACGCTATTCTGATCGATTATTTTACAAGTTAAAAGTACAAAATTGTTACAAACATTGTAATGATACATTTGACCATCTGATAAGTTTAAACAGTTAGAAGAAAATGAAAGCGCCATGCAGAAATGTAGTTGTTCAATTTTGAAAAAGAAAGTGTCATAATTTAAAAAAGTAGAAATTCGTTATAAGTTGTAAATAATATAAAAGCTAAGTGAGAAGAATTTTACCAATGTTAGAAATTTTCACAACAGAAAAGAGGCAGATACTGTTTGTGTTCCCATAATCAAGTTGAAAGGGAGAATATCTAATCAATAATTCCTACTCAAATGTTAGTTTGCAGGGATTTGATTTGATTGGTTACAGAGTTTCATCATTAGCTGACATCGATTAGAGAACCACTGGCAAACCTGGAAGTACTCGACAGCTGTTTCGTCATCCTAGTTTGGGACTCATCATCAGTACACATCCACCACAGGGGTTCGAACCCAGGACCTTCTGGTTACAATGCGAGCTCGTAGACCATTGATGGTAAACACCAATGGCTGGAGACAATTGATGATATGCCTCAAAATCGTTCTCAATGGCTGGCGCAGATGCATCCACTCTTTGTGATTTATCGTATCTAATAAAGCTCTACTGTTCTTCCATATTACTCTTCTTTTTGCCCCATATATCTGTTTATTGTAACTATTTTACATTTATTTTTACTTTATTCCCTTGCTTTGTGTGATGCATGGAGTGTGGCGACTCGAACTGCTGTACATCGGTGCAAAGTTCTATGTTGAAACCAGACAGACAGACAGGTAGACCATTCAGCCACTGGGACCCGATCCAATGACCAGTCCATAAATTCCAACTTCTGCCGATTCCCCACATAGCGTGACTACTTGCCAATGTCATCGGCACTATATCGTGAATTGGCAGAAGCTAGAATTCACGGACTGGCCATTGGATCGAGTCCCAGTGGTTTAGTAGTCTAAGAGCTCGCTAGCCCTGTAACCAGAAGATCCTGTGTTCGAGCCCCACGGTGTGGGTGCGTACTGATGAAGAGTCCCAAACTGGGACGAGACAGCTGTTAAGTACTCCCAGGTTTTCCAATGGTTCTCTAACTGATGTTAGCTCATGATGAAATCCTCCAACCAATCAAAACAAATACGATAAGCAGTTTCATTGTATGAACACTTGTTGTTTCTTATAATTTCATATACTTATGAAATCTAATCATCTATGCATCATTTGTCATGTTTACCGATTCATCAACTTGACAAGGTGAAAGTGAGCTGTGATTAAGTTGCTGTATTATTATCTGAGATTTTGTAAGTTTGATACAGCTATTAGCGTTAAATAGTCAAACGTCAGTAATAAAAATATCGTTTTGTTTATTCATTCATTAAAAAAAATGAATACAAAAACCCCTATACTAGTGAATGTCTTATATTAGATGCCCGAATTTTTTCCAAACTACTGAATGTGAACTTGGTTTGGACATGCATACGACATTGAATAGTTTCGATTTTCTGATGGTCATGACAATGATTATTGGTGTGAACACACATCTCTTGTGAAACTAAACTTAGCTCAAACATTACTGATTTCAAGTATTGGTTTGGTAGGGATTTTGTTTAATTGCATGGAGGATTTCATCATGAGCTGACATCAGTTAGAGAAGCACTGGAAAACCTGGGAGTACTGGACAGCTGTTTCGTCCTAGTTTGGGACTCTTCATCGGTATGCGCCCACCGGGATTCGAACCCAGGACCTTCTGGTTACAAGGCGAGCTCGTAGACCATTGAGCCGCTGGGACCCGATCCAATGTTCCCATGATGAAATCCTCCATGCAATTAAACAAAATCCCTACCAAACCAATACTTGAAAATAATCTGATGCTCACTAGTGACTGGCCCTATTCAGGCAATTAACCTGGCGTTCTTGTGGGAAGCCGTGACCAGTAGGATACAGCAGGTTGAAGATGAGGCAGTAACTCATCTAAGAAGACATTGTGAAATGGTCGCGCTATGTCGTGAATTGGCAGAAGTTAGAATTCAAGGACCATTAGATTGGGTCCCAGTGGCTCAATGGTCTACGAGCTCGCCTTGTAACCAGAAGGTCCTGGGTTCGAATCCCGGTGGTCACATACTGATGAAGAGTCCCAAACTAGGACGAAACAGCTGTCCAGTACTCCCAGGTTTTCCAGTGCTTCTCTAACTGATGTCAGCTCATGATGAAATCCTCCATGCAACATTACTGATTTCACAAATATTTTAGTCTTCTTCAGTTTAGATTTGAAATGTTCTCTCGTTAATATATATATATATATATATATATATATATATATAATATAACTATGGATTTATCTTTTGTTTTTTGCGTTTTACTCAACAATATAGATTTTACTTTTGAGAATGATGGCTTTTTGGATTGGTCTGAACCAATGAAGGAGAATCCCATCTAAAAAGAGGGTAGTAACATGAATTGGAGAAAAGCTGAATATGCAACAACATTTTTGATTGGTAGAGAAAATGGACAAAATATTCTTTTACTAATCACAACAATTGTATTATCTCCACTTCACCTTCACACCTCCTCCCTCTTTTCTCTCTTCTGATATATGCCAGCTTAAACTAAATATTAATAATTATTGTCTTTCAAAGTTTATTTGTTTCTACTTTACCCTTGTGATGCAATCATCAACCCTTTTTTCTTCTCACCTTGTATATACAAATACACACAAACACAGTATAACAATTTCCAACGCTTAAACTACCTACTAACTAAGCCAGATCATACTGATTGTATAATAGTTAGTGAGTAGCCTAGTATGTGCATTTACAACACGGTACTGGTGCGATTGCTTCCCTGCCACTCCCCCGTCCCGTCGTCCTCAACAAATCCACAGTATCCCACTGTCATCATCATCATCACCATTCATCGACTACTTCTTCATACTAATCAATTGCCATTTGTAATTATCAATCATATCCCCCAACTGTGTGAATGGAGATAACCTTTTCTAAACATTATTTTATTATCATTTGATATTTTCTATCCTTCAACAACATTTTGTTATTTATTTATTTACTTACTTATTTTCCCCATTCATTATTTATCTTTTTTTTTAATCAGCATGGGGAGCTTTCCAGCTGCAAGATTCACATATTGTGTTCATTTTTCCATGTGAGTGAAGAAACAAGAAAGAAAGACTCAGTTGTGTGTGTGTACAAGTTTTGTGTTTTCGTTGAATTTTACCAGTTGTTGATTAATAATAGATTTCTCTATTTATTTTTTATTATCCATCAGATTTCGACAGCTAATCAACAACTCTTTCGATTTACTAAGATGGTCAATGGAAAAATGTTCTATTATGTGAAGTTGTTGTGTTTGTTTCCCTGCTAATATTGTGTGCTTGTGTGTAGTTCTTCACCCCAAACCACCTTACCCCACCAGACCCCACCTTGAACCCAACTTTGCTTTTTTAATTATTCATTATGCATGACTGTAATATGTGTAGACTTGAAAACTTTCTTATTCGATTGACTTAGCCTTAAACATCTATTTGTATATGTATATTGTATGTTTATGTAAATAATATCGCATACTGTTGTCTATCATCAGCTTAATAAATAATTATGACCTCAAAGTAATATGTGTAGATGAATAAATGATACCGACATAACTGCAGTCTTTTTTGTGTGTTTTTAATCTCATGTTAAACCACAATGCGAACTACTGCATACAAAGTTTTATCATAAGCCAGTAATTACATCATTTTGAGTGATACTGTTAGGATATATGCACCCGTAGTCTATTAGGTTGACCTTAAAACATTGTCAAGGAACTTAGCCCTAAGTTCCTATTGTAACGAAGACGCTTGGAACCGATAAGGACTATGTATTTGTTTCAACTTTAAATCCAAAACACCAGTATTCCTTGAATGAATTTATATTGATTGGCAATTAAAGTGAAGACAACTACAAAGTCTAAAAACAAATGTTTAGTACAAATGAAGTTATAAAGTACTTTTATTCGTGTTCTTTCCGCCTTCATCCAGCTTGCACGCGATCGTACCATTCGCGCCTTCGGGTTGCCCACCAATGGCTGCCAGTTCCAATAAACAAACGTTCAATGTTCACGTCTATTGACAAACATACTCATCACTCTGTTTACATCTTAAAGCTATGGTCAGCATTTTCAATTTTTGAATATAACTCTCCTATGCCATACTCAAAAAATATGCAGAAGAAAAAGAAGATGAATTGGGCACACTCTAAGGAGACTGTTGAATGACATCGAGTGACCAATGCAGGCTGTCGCTGAAGTGGAATCCGAATGGGAAGTGATGAGTGGGTTGCTAGTGCGAGGGTGACATGGAGATCTCGTTGGAAGGAGGAGATGAGAGATTATGGTCAATCATGGGTCCAGCTGAAGGGGAGAGGAGAACATAGAAGAAAGTAGAGATGTGTTGTTGAAGCTCTATGTTCCACTCGGAACCCAAGGGAACAATGATAATAATATGCCATGCATTCTTCTGAAGTTCCCTTGGTTACAAACAATATTTGGCTTTTTTTTAAATTATGGAAAATTCCCATTGTAACATATAGAAAATCAAAACAAGTGATTCAGCGAAGAGACTCTTTCCAACGAATTTATCATCAAGCTGTACAATCGTATATATATGATTTTTAAGAAGTTACATCCGGTGAGGGAATTGAAACATGGGTGTGAATGCACGAAATAATAATAATATGAAGAGCAATTAAAACTAAAATGTTTGTGATTATAATCGTAGTTAAATGTCAAGTGGCAAAGCAAATTAATGTCATATATAGAATAATTCATAGGATGGATAGAACTTGAAAAAGTAGTAGACAAATCGAATAAAATAAAAACGTTACGTAATGTTGTGTGAAATTTAATAGCATAGAATTTGATGTTGTAAAAAGGAATAGATTTAGAATGATAAGTGGAACAAGTGAAATAATACCCGGGGCAGTTAAAAGTGAGAGTAGTAATAGTAACAATTGACGTAATAAGGAAGAGTATACAAAAAATGAAAAATTGGTAGAGCTAAAATATGATTGGGGATTACCATACTTTAGCATAGAGGGATTAAGACCATGAAAGTTGGAGGGGTTAAAGGAACTTTTTCTGCACACATAGATCTGTCTTTTCTGTTTCGATAGCCAAAGCTTCAGCAATACAGATGAGGCGGGTACGTAGGGATTTGGGTAAATTACTCTTTGCCTTGTAGATGACTTTGAAGGCGGAGGCTATAGAGATAGGATGATCATTATCGACCAGATGTTCAATGATCGCGCTTCTTATTGCTCCATTTCCACTTTTTCGTAACCATGCAGGATAGTGTTCTTGCACCCTCTTGGACAAAACTCGTGTCGAACGACCGATATACGTAGCTCCACATGAGCAGGTGAATTGATAAACACACATAGAGTTGGTCAACAGTAGGATCTTATCCTTCAGGTTATTGAACAGTAATGGTCGACTAGTAAAGGGTATTCTCAGAGATGCAGCAGGGATATAACTTCTTAAAAACGATATATATACGATTGTACAGCTTGATGAGAAATTCGTTGAAAAGAGTCTCTTCGCTGAATCATTTGTTTCGATTTTCAATATTTGGCTTCACTGATTACCGCGTGAGGTTGACAACACTTAAACCATTAGGTCATCATCATCGTCATCTTAGGTTTTGCTTCTTGTTTAATTTTTTCAGTATATTCACAATACTTATTTCCACTCTACTGGTGTCTACTCCTGTCATTTTTTTAGTTTATGTTAAACTTAAGAGACTGAAAAGCAACAGGTTGGATTGAAGGTTTATCTAGTATTTCTAAGATAGTTATCTAACATTTATGAAAGCCTAACTGGAATACTGGATCTCAGATAACCTGTTAATCATATATGGCCTCGTATGAAACCGGTTTTCCTTACAGTAATCGTCAATTAAATTGACTACGATTATTTGACGATTGAGTAATCCAGAATAAAGTGTTTTTGAGCAAAATTGTCTATTATAACCATTCAAGTTGTATTGGTTTCAAGGTAGACTTCATAAAAACCAACGTTCGATTGAGAGTCATAGAAAACCAACAGAGTAGTACACAGCTGTTTCATTCTCGTTTGTGACTTTCAATCGTAGACACCCACGATTATGTCATGGATTAAACTCAAAACTTCTAAATTATGGAATTTGTAGGGATTTGGATTAATTTCAGTCCCTAGGTTTCTTCACAAACCAACATCACTTTGAGAGATCATTGAAAATTGATTAGTCAACGAGGTTTGGTCCAACGAGGTCCAGGGTTCAATCCTTGGTGGAATCGTGAGTGTATGCTGATGAAGAGTCCCAAAACAGGATGAAACAGCTGTCCACTGCCCCTTGGTTTTTAGTGATCTCTCTAAATGATGTTGGTTTGTGATGAAACGAGAAAATTATCAGTTATCACCATGATATGAACACACTGTTGAAGGAAGTCTGAGTTGATAATCCATGTGATTTACCTCGCTCTTGGCGTATGAGTATACATGGGAATTATGAATAATAATGGCAGCAGTAGCATGAATTAATAAATGAAAAGCCTTTTGACAAAACACTTGCTCAACTTGTAAATTGGACTTAAGGCTTGAATGAGTAGAAAGGCTGAGGTTTTTTGTTAAAACTGCACATGAATCACACCGTCAGGGTAAGCTAATCAGTTAGCCTTCAATTACCTAACTCTGAGTAACCATAACACTATCGTCTAGGAAATTGTTCCTCAGTAAAAAAATAAGCTCACTAATATTTTCAAATAATACAGTCTAACCTGAATTTTTATGAGTAGCGGTTCAGTTACAATGAAGCTGAAATCATAAACCTTGCCGTACAAAATCATAAATAAGCAAAACTAGTGACTAGTGTATATGTTACTCTAGCCCAGAAGGTGAATTCAGCAGATCAGTCTATTTAGGAAGTTTGGGGACGAGCTTTTACGTATCTTAATCTTCAAATTATGATTAACTTCCAAATTCCCATTTACGCATTTAGAAAAACAACAGATTGAGCGAAGAAATATATTCCTTTTCAATTAGTTCCTCCTCATTGGCTGTACACTAATATAGTTTTTTACATCAGAATATTTTACCAATGAAGTGGTTATTTTAGATAATCAACTTTAGGTATAGGGGGGTGGAATTAAGAGGTTAAAGGTCATCAAAACAATCAACTACTAGATGTAAGAAGGTATTTGAGTTTTAAAAGAGGGGTGAAAATTAATTATGGAATTCAAGATAAGTTGATTCTTAGGCGTTGGAAACAAGTTGTTACATAATCAAGAAATTTGTAAAATAGCAATGATGACTAAGAAGAATAGGATGACTCAGAGGAGTTATATAAAATACAAACAAGTTAATAGAATTAGTTGGAATTGTAAAAATTAACAAAGTCAAAAGATTTTGCTTGTTCAGATGAAATCCGATTGCCTCTGATGTATGTAAAAGTCATACTCGTAGACCGTGCGAGACTTTGGGTGAAATACTACTAATAAATAACTTTAAAGGATTTGTTAGAGTCGATTCGATGTCCAGTATCGGCAAGATGAGCTTGTATTGAGCTGCGTATATCTTTATTCGGACCTTTGCCAAACGAAGATGGGAGGCGTTCAGAAATTCGACGATGAACTTGCCTGGTCGTACGCCCTATGTAACTAGCTCCGCACGGGCAGTTAAACTGGTAAATACACATGGAAGAGGCGAAACAAGGTAGTGTGTCTTTTTTTCTTGAACTAATTGTTGGTTGCCTAGTGAATATACAGCATAGCCTAACTGCATAGAAAGTTCTTATGAAGGCCCTTCTCAGACGTTGTGACAAGATCTCAATATTGACATCATCCGTGAATTGTAACCTTATTAAGACTGACTTTTTGGGGACAGTCGGCAACTTCGACTTTTTACTTTCTGAGTTCATATGTTTGTCTAAGAATTTAGTTGGATATCCCTTTCTACTTAGTAGGTCACGA